CATACTCACATCACATGGCTATGGTTCACAGGTGACTCATACTCACATCACATGGCCATGGTTCACTCTCAGACTGAAGAAGTCTCTTGGAAGAGAGACGAAACGTTTCATTAAAGAAGAACCCGTCCAGAGGACCTATACAATTTTTTTTCCTTTTGACCATGCTCAATAGTTTTATGTTGATCACACCTTCAACCTTTAAACAGTGTTTTATTTTTCAGATGTTTGGTAAACTTTACAACATTTTAAAGACATGTTCAGAGTTTATTGGGATATTAAAGTGTGTCTCATCTTGTGTTATTGTTGTATCAGAAATATTGGAGCCACAGGGTTGAGTGACAGTTTTACAAATCTGTAAAGATTGCTCTAATTTTAATGTAAGGCCACATTCTATTGGGTGTTTATGATGGCATTTCTGCTTGTCATTTTTCAGCAGGTTGCTGTAAAACCATAATGAATTATTTTTATGAGACATGAGAACAGTTTTTTCCTGTATTTTCTCACAGTGTGAGCTTTCCAATTACAACATGATGGATATAAGCCAACCTACATTTTCGTCAAACAATCGGTTAGTCTAAGAGTGCTTTTAGACAGCAAGTGATTACTGCGCTGTTTGGCTCCTGGTGATGTACTGTAGGCTTTTATGTATTGGTGGAAAATGCAGCTAAAGTGAGCAGGTAATTGCAAAGAAACATAAAAAAGCAAACAGTATTACATAAGTAAAAACCATGAAATTGTACAGTAGCCAAAATGGCTATTACCATGCTTTTATTCTGTAGTGCAAACAGAGAAATACAAGAAATAATTGTCATCTTTGTTTGTTTGTTTACAAAGATATTTAGAAACCCAAATGTATCGTTCAAATATTCGCATCATTATATTCTGTATAATGACTCGCATTCAGATTGCTCTGTGCCATCTTGTCATAGAGCTCGTAAGAGTGAATGGAGCTTGTTGTGTTGTGTTGTTGCTGTTGAAAGTGCAATCATTAACCCTGACACAATGAAAGATTGCCACGCTGGTCAGGCTTGAGGGGAGCAAGCATACGCGGTGAATCAAACGCAACTATACTCACCTTCTAAATGATCTGTGCTTTGTGTTTATGGTAGAAGTTGTGGGTCGCCTGTTGTCTCTGGATGACCTGCATGAAAGATGACAATATCTACCTCATTGCTCACGTCTTCTGCCTCATCTATACTGCTGTGCTACTTTGTTTTTCCAAGCTGAATGGCTGTCATTTCAGTTTTAGCCCTGGAAAATGATGCTTTGCAACGTAGCGGAACATTGCAGCTATGTCACTAACAGCCAAATGGAATATTGAAAAATTGAAGTGTCTGTGTTTTGGAATGTCATAATGCCAGGTGACTCCCTGCTGCTGGGGAAAATATTACAATCTGACACTAAGGAGATGGATAACCTGTTTTTTTGGGTGGGTTCGTGATAATGGCAGAGTGAAATATCATATCTAACTCATTTGTATTCAGAGGCAGAGTTTGCTTGTTGTCATGAAATGCATGTGAATATTCATCATAAATTTGTTGTCTTTTGGCAGACTGCAATCTCTTGAAGATAATTGATGGGTCCCATTTGGACTGTGTGGTAAAAAAACATCCTCCACTGGCTTCTGTGATGCATCTCCTGCCTGAGAATGCCCTTGTGTCTGGCGATGACATCATTCCTGGGCTTGCAGCTTCTCCAACAGGTGAACTTTTCATCACATAGGTTAAAAATGTTCCTCAGTTTAGAAAACAAGTCTGTGCTGCACCTCTACTTATGCTTATGTTAAAACCAACTATAAGTATTTGGAACCAACAGTGGTCATAGGTGTTTAGAATATGTACCAAGTAACTCTCATCTGAAGATAGACCCTTCTTATGGTAAATAAATACATATGATTCATAGCAAGAACATCATGAGTTCAAAATGTAGTTTAATGCATTGTGGAAAAAGAAAATAACCAGAAAATTCTGCATTAAACCGAGACCCTTTTCAAAATAAACACAACCTGCAGCCAAATGAGGACTCCTCTCCAGCACGTAGACATGTCATTGTGAGACAATGTGTCGTTAATTGCAGCCAAAGTACACACAGGAGACTAATTCAGATTTAGACCTGAACATTTAATTGATGAATATAAAGTCTTACACAACCTTCAACTGGACCAAAACAATCTGAACACAGCAGTCACAAAGTTTTGGTGCCAGAAAACAAAACAACAGAAAGTTTTAAAAATCACCATTCTGGACCAAGCCACACATCCTGGAGCAAACGCCGTGACCAAAAGGAAGAGCCCTTTCTGTCTCAGAGCTTGGTCCTTTAACTTTAACTAACCCTGCAAACAAAATATCAATAAACAAACAAACAAACGAACGAACAAATAAATAAATAAATAAATAAATAAATAAATAAATAAATAAATAAATAAATAAATAAAAACCCTTAAGTGTCTTGTCGTCTAGTGTAAGGCTTGTTTTAACTAAACTGTCCCTCATGAATACTCTTCTGAGATGACCCATGTCATGAGTCACTCACAACAGAGCATACACTACTATTTAATCACAGCTTAGTTATAGCTTGAACAGAGTGATTGTGGAGTTCACAGACTTACCCACTTTATCCAATGTCTAAGTACTTTTTCACTTAATTCTGACTCAATTTAGAGAGTATCCACACGGAAACAAAAAAATAGTCTAGACATCTTAATAAAAATATGTGAAGTGGATTTAATGCGAACAAAATACAATATACAACATCATCAACTGCATCTAAGGTTTAGAGACATTAAAAACTACCAGACAGAGATCAAGATGGAAGCAATTTAAATACAGCCCTGTGTGATGCTGTATTTGTAACAATATTTATACAGAGTTTAACCTTTTCCTGGCTTGCATTAAATATGTCAAACATGTCTTATTATGCTGGACAAAACCCACCAGCACAATTGAAAATGATAACTCTCCCAACTTTTGATGAGCTTCAAAACTTACCAACTGATAATCAGCAGAACCAAACTCTTAGGAAGGACCTCAAAACTTAGGTGGCAAATTATTCAAAATGATCTATCTTTGCAGATGAGTAAAACAAAAACATCCATCTGTCCACGTTGGCGGTGGCAGGAATGTGCATGACAGCTACATTGGGCCTCATGCAAGAACATGTTTGTATTCTAATCCTAAATTTCTCTTACTTTTGTTCGTACGAAGGGTTCGTACGAACATGTCACGTCAGATTCAACAAACTCTTC